GTATATACTCATTTATCTATAGTTATCTTAGTGAAGAAATAACAACCTACTCAAGCTATCATAAGGAAAACTAAGGAAAATTCATTAACGCTATAAAGGATATATTATGGAACCAAAAGGTGGAAGATCTAACCCTTATCTGCAACTGGATTTGAAACATTTAAAGCTGTGGAAGACGGGCTGCAACCTTTAAATCCCCCCACATGGGTCTCCTGTTTCTCTGTCTCTGTGCTCATCCAGTTCCTTCTTTATTCCCTCCGTGCAGGTTGGCTTTCTTTGACTTTCCATCCACGTGGTAGAAGGTAGTTGCCTCAGGGGTCTGCATCTCGTCCTCTACATTGATCAGCAAAGACTTATCCCACTGACGCATTCCTGAGAAAGAGAATCTGACTGGGGGCCCCAGGGTAGAAGTAGCTACCAGAGTCTGCCATGTGGTTGGGGACCAGTTCTTAGATAAGGAGGGGATTTTGTAAGCTGGGAAGCTACTGCAGGGGATCAACCTCATTAAATACCTAGAAGGATCTGGATGTTTCATTGAGTAGCTACCTGGATAAACAGAGAAGCTGAAGACAGGAGACGTGTTAATATTAAGCCCGTAATTACCATATTTATTTTTAGGAAACTGCAAGTATAACCACAGGTAGCCACAGGCAGTGTGTTAAAGAGGATTAAATGGTAAATGACATATTTATTCAGTAATGTTACCAATATTACATCAAATTAGAAATCTCAGAGTCGTGGCCCTGCTTTATACGTCATGAGATTTTTTGACTAGCATCGTAACAACTTCTAATTAAATGTTACAGCAGTGGAGATGCCTGACCACCCAAATTTGTGGGTTTTTTTTAAGCATTATATTTTACTTCAACCACAGAACTGTCCAACATACCAGGTACTCAAAAAAAAATATAGTGAATCATGATCTCACTGGATATATAGATTTTCAGGTGCTTTCCAACCATCTTTTCATATTTCTTGTCTTTAGTTTTATAAATAATGCCTTTTAAGTTAAACTTTAAAACATCCATAAGCTCTGACTTTTCATTTTTCAAACTCTTGATCAATAAGAAGTAGCAACTTCTGGTACTTAAAAAGAGAAAAGAAATGAGTGTCTGAGGTATGAAGGAATTTAGAGCCAGAAAGAACACAGGATTATCCTCTGCAGGCAGGATGTATCTGATATTATATGTAATGCCCTTTGCCCCAGAATTCCAGTCTTGAATGATTTTCCCCAGGCCCTCGCAGGTAAGTACTTACAATTGAGACAATGCGGAACATTATCCACAATGATGTAGAATCACCAAGAAATTATGTGATTATAGTTTAATACCGGACTTTCGATGTCTGCATCAAGACTTTGTAGTAGAAGATTTAGTCTAATTCAGTCAAATTTAAAACATTTTAGAAATTGGAGCTTATTTGTTCTTTGAGATATTTAAAAATGCACTTTTACCAATTTTGTTGTCAAGGTACAACTTTACTTGTTTTGAAGTAGTATTGCCCAGCTGGTGGTGAATGATATTAGGGAAAAGAGGCGAAGTACATGAAGGAAATAAACACTGCAAAGCCTGTGATTAAAATGATACCTATCCCCTTTTCGTTTCACTTCTTCTATAGATTTTTGTACTGAGGACTCATTTACAGAGCTTGTTCTATTTTGGAGACTATCTCTAATTTATATATAATAATATATACATCCAGGCTTCCTATCACATGGTGTTTAAAAATCAGTGAGTCATTTTAAAAAATTTTTATTCTCTGGTATGCTGTATGACTCCGTGGTGGGAGTAAAGAAATATGATGCTTTAAGGATTACAGCATTTAAGCTGGGGTGGTCAGGCATTTTTTTCATTAATAATAGTATTAGGTAATTTTTGGTAAATACCTACAGACTGATGTGTAAAATGTGTAGTTTGGGAGTACAGAAAAAGGGACAGCTGGCCCAGAGTAGCCTAGGAAGGAGTCATTAAAGAGAAAATAGTGGGATAGTTTTTGGGAGGATTCTTAGGACCTATTAAGGAGGGAGGCCAATCTAGGTGAGGCACTCTGGAAGTGAGAAGGCCCAGGCATCTCCAGAGGAGAGCAGGGTAGGTTATTTGGGGTGGGGTATTGGGGCCATTGTAAGGAGAATGAGAGGTGATTGGAAATACACATTGAGGTCGGGTGTGTGTATAGCAGCAGCGGTGTTCGGTAGCGTATGGGAAAGGCTAGACAGGCGAGAGGTGAGAGGCAGAAAATTGAATAGGAAAAACGGCGTGAGTTGAAGTAAGTCGGTTGCTATCAGAATGGACAGGAAGGGGCCAAGTAGTCGAGTGGAGAAAGAGTGATTAATGGACTTGGGGACTAACTCTTTTATGGAGACAGAGGATAAAGGAATGTATCAAAGGATGGTTCTGAAGTTCTAAATCTGGACAGCAGTAAGAATAAGAAACTACACACAAACAAAAAAGACAGAGGAATTATTGATATTTATGGGAGGATGATTTAGGTTTCAGAATTTAGGGTTGATTTTATCCGTAAATATGTGAGTGTGCCAGTGAAATATACGATTCCAAGTCAGCGACTGGAGCTTGAGAGAGAAGTCAGGAATAAACCACGCCATGGTGAAGGAAGTGATATATGTGCCGGCTCTGTTTTGAAGTTTGGAACCTAAAGACAAAAGGGAAATAAGATTATACATAGGGCGTGGGACAAAAGCAAGCTTTTTTCTTAAGACGGTGGAAAGGAAGAGGCCCGTGGCTAAGAATAGACTAACAATATTGAGAGGTGTTAACTGAGGAGACTTGGTTGATGTGGAGAAAAAGAACAGTGATCTTAAGATATTAGGGTTTTAAGGATACTGGTTGGTCGGGCCCTGGTCAGTCAGTATTTTATTGCACAAGGCCAGTCACTGAATTTTAGGACAGGTAAGCACCTCAGAAGAATTACTTGGCTCAGTGTATTTCATACTTTGGTAGAACTATCCCTCTGCTGTGTTGGTGGTAAAACCAGTGAAATGAGCGCATTTGTAGACATCTTTCTGTGTTATATCAGTTTGATATTCTGTTCCAGTTCTCACGGTTTCCTGCAAACTTCATTAGCGTTTATGCCAAATCTACAAATTGAGTCCCTCAGTTGAGTTACTCAAGTAGACACCCAATTCGGTATTCTGCCTGACTATTGGGCAGTTGGGGTGTTGTCTTCACAGAGATGGTATTTGTCATCAAATTACTTCATCAGCATGTTGAGTAATATTCCAGTGGCTTCATAAATACATTTTTTTAAAAAATTGACCAATCTGTTAACATGTTTTATATTTTGCTAGTGAAGTCTTTCTTTCACAGAAACTGAAATAAAGTCCATTTACTGCCACTCACAGCTGTGCTCATTGGCCATTGTTGTGCTTTCGGTGAGAATAACGCACCTGGGGAAGAACAGGGGCTCTGAAGTCAACGGGGACAGTTACGCTATAATTATAAGAGCACAGGCTTGTTTCGCTTCTATATTGACTATTTCTTAGAGCATTGCCAAGTTCACAGCAAAATGGAAGGGAATATACAGAGATTTCCATTACCTCTGCTCCCCCACACGCCTCCAGGCGAGTTTCTAAATACCACTAATGCTCTGTGTCGTCGTCTCTGAAATGCAAGTAGTAGCTGTTACCTCACAGATTTCGTGATTGAGGAAGATCGTGTTTTTAAAATGTTTGATATTTCTTAAGTACCCCATAGTGTGCATGTGCTCATACTAGAGCCATAATTGCTTTAAAACTTCCTTGGGGCGAAGCATTATGTTTATAGGGTGCTTTATAAATGTTTTCTGCTTTATAAATGCTTAATGTGGTCCTCAGACTTTCAATGAATGAATGAATGAATGAATGAATGAATGAGTACATGCCCGCAGGAATCAAGAGTTACATAGGATCTCCAGGTCTCTGAAAAGTTTTTGCTAATATCCTGGCTAGAATTGCTTGCCCATAAAAGTGCCCATAAGTACTATATGACTTGAGTATCTTAAATGTAAATGTGATTGTGAAAATGAGTTGATCTACTTTAGTCCAGGTTAGACGTTCTTAGGAACTGTGGTGACTTCTGTTGCAGACCTGCTGCTTCCTTTGACAGATGTGGGGGCTTTTGAGAACACTGGTCTTAGAAATGGTAGAACAGTTGATTCTGGCCCGGGCGCTACCCCCTGAGGCCCTGAAGTGCATTGTATAAGGACCCACTGGCAGTAGTGATCAAAAAGCTGCTTTTTGTTTTGTTTGTTTGCTCCTTTGAAGCTCTTAAGATGAGTAGTGGCCCTGGAGATTACTTGTACTCAGGACCTCTCTGCCTGCTGTGGCTGTGCTAGCCCCGAGCAGGTCAGTTCTGGCACTTGCCCACTGCGCCTGAGGAGCCCCAAGTCCCATCGTCCGTCCACAGAGCTCACCGGGCGTGCCCAAGCCTCCGCTGAGCCCCATCTCCTTATCTGTAACCTGAGTGAGTTTGGGGTAAAGTTGTGTGCTCTGTAAGTGTGGCGATACATCTGGGTGGATTGGCTCCTTGCTGGCGCCATAGCAAGCCCCCAGTAAACATTATGGCATCGTTGCGGATGCTGCTGTAATTTCACATAACCAGTGATTAAATCATGACTGAAGGGAAATGTTGATTGACTCAACACGGTGCCTGGCACATAGTAGACCCTTCATAAGACGGTTCCCCACAGGGCACTTGAGACCTTGCTCCCCAGCATACGTACATGTCAGTTTGGCTCAAATGCCCTTTCATTGATAAAAAGATCCCTTTACTCTTGTATTCACATGCCCATCATACCCTTTCCCTAGTTTAGGAATAGACAGAAAATTGATGGCTTTCTGGGCACAATGTCTTTCCTCAGATCTACTATAAGAAATATGAGTTGCTAGGTTGATATACTTGGATGTCAGGGATGAGGATTTGGAATTAGGTTTTCATGGTTTAAAATTGCTTTTCCTAAAAACACATCATACATGTGTGTATTAAATTGCTTGTCTGATGGCACAGATGCTGTTGACGGAGTACTTGGACATGAAAAACACCCGTACGGCCTCCGAACCGTCAGCCCAACTCAGTTATGCGAGTACTGGACGGGAGTTTGCAGCCTTTTTTGCCAAGAAGAAACCTCAAAGGCCAAAAAATTCTCTTTTCAAGTAAGTATCTCACTATTGGTGATACAGCAGGTATCCAGAAGCGCTACATGCAGGTAGGACTTTCTACTTAATTGACGGCCATTTCTTTACCTAATGTTGATTTGAAATAATTTATAGAAAGTGAATATATATTCAATTTTGTGTACTTTTATTTTCTGTAAGGGGAAGTGGTCATGTTGGAATGTGGTTACTGGGCTACCTAGAACTTTTTCAGAAGTTGCAGGAAAATTCGTTTCTGGGAAGTTTTATGTATATTGGAGGGAAATTAAACTCTGCAGTTGTTTCTGGGGAATTACATGAAATGAAAAGAAATATAATATTTCAGCCTTTGGAAAACCCCAAGTGCCAAGAAACAACCTTTGTTAATAAAGTTATGTAAATCTTTCTAGCTAAGTAGTATTGGGTTTTTGTTTGAATTAATAAAGGAACCATCTGGAAATTCTTTTTATTTTAATTACTATCTTAGCTAACCCTACCTGGCCATGTATGGTAAGTATATGTTACTTGGTACCAGCAAATAGTTATATAATCACTAAATTGACAATAACAACATCAGTAACAGCTACCATTGATTACTTACTATTACCAAGTACTAGGTAGGTTACTTCCTCAAGATAATCTCAGTTCAACATAATTCATGTTATATCAAATTTCAGCATCTGGGGTACAGGCTTACACTTACTGAGTCCTTACTAAGTGCCAGCCAAGGCATTAAGCCATTTTCATCGATTATCTTATTCACTCATTACCACCTTATATGTGTGTTCTATTTTTAATCCTTTTTTACACGTTTAAAAAAAGAAACAAAAAACCTGAGGCACAAGGGAGGTTGGGTTTATGTAAATTCACACAGCTAGCAAGTCTTAGAAGCAGGATTTAAATCTTGGCACACCCGTGTGTTCTTTAGAAGGGTTAATAGCTGTTTAAGACATTGTATTTGTAAATCGAAGCATTTAAAGTGACTACAAAAGTATCATCGTGGTCTTTTGAATAGTTGAGGCTCCAATATCTTTTACTGATTCACTTTTGAGATTTTTTTAAAAATTGTGGATTCATAGAGTTCTCAGTCATTAGGGAAAGTTTCAGCAGTTCATTCATCTTGCGGTCTAGAGCAGAAGAGTTTACTGTGCTCACATGGAGGAAAATCCATTCTGTTTATTGAACGTGTTCCTTTTTTTTTTCTTTTTACAGTTTTATTCAGAGGTTAGATACAGTATCAGTAAAAATGCTTTTGTCTGCAAGTAACATAGAGCCCCACATGAGCTACGGGCAGATCGAACCCCGGGGCAGTTACTTTCTCGCCCAGTAAGGCTGAATGTAGAGGATTCCTTACCTCACCGGTGCAGTAGCATCGAGGACCCGGCCCGTTCTCTCTCTCTGCCTTCAGTCCTACTCTGGTACAAATGGTGATGCCAAAGAAATAGTGTGTGATTCCTCCTACAAATCTTTTTTTAATCTTTTTTTAAATTAGTAGTCTTTATTTTTTGTAGCAGTTTTAGGTTTTTCGAAGAATCGAGCAGACGGTACACAGATCTTCCCTTATGTTCCCTCTCCTACAACTTCCTCTATTAACATCTTGCACGAATGTGGTGCATTTGTTGCAGTTGATGAGCCAATATTTGTATATACTATTAGCTAAAGTCCATGGTTTACATTATGGTTCATAATTTGTTTTCTGCAGTTTTATGAGTTTGGAAAAATGTATGATACCATTTATCCACCGTTACAGCCTCAAGCAGAATAGTCTCATGGCCCTAAACACCCCGTTTTATTCCACTTGTTCGTTCCTCCTCCTTTTCCCTGCTCCCGAGCCCCTGACAGTGACCAGCCTTTTTACTTGGTTTGCCTTTTCCAAAATGTCTTTCATAGCTACAATCATACAGAGTGTAGACTTTTCAGACTGTTTTTTTCCCCCCACTTAGTAGTGTGTATTGAGGGTTCTTTTGTGTCTTCCTGGCTTGATAGATCATCCCTTTGTATCACCAAATGACATTCCATTATGTGGATGTACCAGAGGCTTTCCATCCAGTTATTGAAAAGCATCTTGGTTGCTTCCATTAAGCTACTGTAAACATCCAAGTGCAGATTTTTGTGTAAATATAAGTTTTCAGCTCGTTTGGTTAAATACGTGGAAGCATGGTTATTGGATCATGCTATGTTTAATTTTGTAACAAAGTGCCAAACTGTCTTCCAAAGTGGCTGTGCCACTTCAAATCCTTTTAAAATTATTTTAAATTATTACTGGTACATTTATTAACTTTTCCTTCCTATGACAAAGCCATTTCGCAAGTTTTCCTCAAGAAGGTTAAGATGGGTCTTAGGTCCATTCCTAAACCAGTCACTGGCAGGGCAAGCAGATCACAGCGATTGTCTTAAACCATTTCGGTTTCGCCTCTGGTGATGGGTCTCCAGCTGGACGGGGAGCCAGGTGGCAGAACACCCAGTGACAACAGGAGCTGTGCCAGCAAGCAGGAAAGATGGTGGGTGGGGAGTTGGTAGTGACACTGAGATGGCCTCAGATGCTGCCTGTTAGGCTGCCCCTCCCCTCACCCCTCCCCCAGCTCAACTTCCCACCTAAATGGAGGTGTGTTGCCGAAATCAGGGGTCAGGGTTTTTAGATTGTGTGCTTTTAGCCATCACCCCTAACTTGCAACCTGAGACCATATATCCATTTTTAAACATTTAGCCAGTCCCGAAATTGTAGTATTAGAAAGCATAGAAATTGCTGGAAATGAATAAATGACCTTAAATAATCGTTGCACATTTATTAATATTGCATAGAAACAAAAAAATCATTGTGTGCCCAGAATCAGGCCATTATTACAGATCTGCCTTCTCTCGTCTTGGTTCCGCCATGGACGACCCCTGTGCCCAGAGCAGGGTTGCTGTGTGGGGGTCCTCGGGCCTTGGGCCTCTGCTGTGAAGTGAGGAATGAGGCCGAATCATGGTGGCCCCTTTTACTGTCAAAGTGTATCAGTCCGTGGCTTGTTCCAAACATAAAAGGATTCCCAAGCAGCAAAACACATCAGGTCATAAAGGATTAAGATTTTAGTGAGCTATAATCTGTTTATATCACCTCCGTGAAAGACTTTACTGCTCTCTCTAATTGCCCCTAGCCAAGGTTAATTAAGTGTGCTTCAGTTCTCTCTCATTGTATAACGCGTACCTCTCCATTCTCTGCTCAGCCGTTTATGTTTTTCCCTTATCATTTCTGATCCATAGCTGTCAGCATGCATTTTGGAGGTCAGTGGCTTCTTTTTTGTACTTGACAGGCGGGTGGCACTTGAGCCCTGCACACACGGCCTTCCTTCTGGCTGGCAGTGCCCTCTTAGTTCTTGGCAGAGTGCAGAGAGAGAATCAGGAAACCCTAGTGTTTCCCTCTGACCGACATTCGTCTTAGTGTTCCTCCTCGTTGTCGAGGAGTGGGTAAAGAAGGCATCATTAAGAGAACCACGGCGCTCCTTCCTTGTCGCCAGAACCTATCCTGTTGTCACTGCTGCTCTTCCATTGTGTTGCTGTTTACCCCTCGGTGGCAGCAATTCTTAGAAGACTCTCTCCCGTCAGGCTGTTAGTCTGACTTTGAAGATGGCAGGCTTGAAGTGGAACTTCTCTGAGCACAGTAGAGGATCTACTATTCGATGGAGTCATAATTTTAACTATTGTTTTTTCCCTTACCTACAAGTTTATCTTAGGATTGTGATTTTTTTTTTTGGTATTATTATTTTAGATTTTAGAGACCTGTTCTAAATCTTGAGCGTTCCCCCATGTCTTTGACTTGAAACAGTTCCTGGGTGGGTGTGGACAGGCATCCTTGGCAGCCCTTTAGAATGAACTGTTTCTGGGGTTTTAAGGAGAGACCGTAGATTCCTTGCTTCTGTGGTGCAGTTAATCGGCAGTATGGGTAGCGTGTCCTTTGTCCTAGGGCTGTAACTGGGGGGACATTGAAAGGCAAGATGTCTGCTCTGAGGAGCCAGGATTTCTGTGCATACAGCAGACAATCTTACAGCGATGGCTCTCGAGCTGGACAGGCAACGTCTAACGATGCTGTGAGATGCCCTCATTGCTGTGTGTGCAGGCATCCTGGCAGAGGACCTGGAGGCAAAAGGCAGTTGCAACAGATCAGAGTCCTATCAGCTGAAGTGGAAGATGAGTGGAAGATGCAAATACTGTTGTGGAGGGGTGCTAGCCAGGACCCTCGTTCACAGGTCAAGGCCGCTGGCAGCCCAGCCCTGGCCCCATCATGGAATAGTCAGAGCGTCTTGGTTGGGGACCATTGGGGAGCATCTCATAGACCGGAGTGGACTACTTTCGGAGGGCATAGCTGGGCACTGCCTCTTTGGTTGCCACCTAACTGCTCATTGACCCTGCGTTTCGTTGCAGGTTTGAGTCGTCTTCACACGCCATCAGCATGAGTGCCTACTTGCGAGAGCAGAGAAGGGAGCTGTACAGTCGGAGTGGAGAGCTCCAAGGTGGGTGGCCGCGTTTCTCTGGAAGCCCTGAAGTGTACGGTATGTGAATGGGAGGTCGGAATGCACAGTATTCTTTCAGGATAGCAAAGGTGTAAAGACTCGATCATCTGTTTCTTCTATCATTTCCCAGCAGTGTTGATGAGCAGCTAAAACTGTTACTGGGGCCACAGGACTCAGATCTGCTACCATTCTAGTGGGAGTGCAAAGCAAACAGAGATGCTGTCAGTCTCGTCTGTGCTTAAAGATGAGCCCAGTCATGGCCTGGGGGCTGCCAGTCTCCTGTGGCTGCCACTGTTAACTTTGATTATTGTTTGCAGGACAGTAGTCCTGGGGTATGTCAGGAGCATCTGAGATTCAGAAGAAGGCAGATGCGGCCTCTGATGTTAGTTCAAGGGAGGAAATTTTCTCTGATTACTGTGTTCTAATCAATATAACTTTGATACACAGGATATCTGATACCTACCCGTGGCTACTAAACAGTGATGAACTGAATAAAAAAATGCTTCAGGAAATAAATTATAAGTGAATTTAATTAAATGAAAAAATCAGACCAATAGCATTTCATTTTGTGACAAAAAGGACCTAATCATGGTCAGTGTACTCAATCAAGAAAGACTCGTGAGGGCCTGCTGAACATCCTGGGCCTTGGAAGGGGCGGAAGTCAGGGGCAAAGGAGTAAAAGATAATGACGTGAGATTCAGTTATGAAATCAAGGCATGGATGTCAGTAACAGTATCAGAAAGTAGATGCTGACCACTAAAACGGTATGCATAAAGTTGCTGGAGATGTTGAGGGGAAGGAATGATTATTTAAGTTATTTTATAACTGCGGGCTTTCTCGTGAGGGATGGATCAGAACACTCAGTTTGGATGCACTGGAGGCACTTGGACTATTTTGGGGGGACTGGCCTGTACAATTAGATATTTAGTTTAGGTAACAGAACAAAAAGCCTAGACGTGTGTTTGAGGATGTAAGGAAAAGGAGATCCACCTACCAACGTTTTATTTTATATTAAAGTGTTGCTATGTGTTCTGGAAAACCTGAAGTGTGTACCTTGGAGTCTTGAATTACAGGAGATAGACGTAATTAGTCAACAAGGATAAATGACTGATACTAGAGCCTTTCTCTCTGTTACGTAATGAGTGAGAATGGTAAACACGCTGTGCTGTAGCCACGTGGGATGATTCTCAGTTGTGCGGTGTCCCCCGCCTCCCTCCCCCTCAACTTCCCACCGCAGTCCCTGATCTCTGGGGACACAGTAGCAAAGCAACGGAGAGGAGAGGATTCTGGACCCAGATTGCCTACATCTAAAATTTAGCTTCCCATTTACTAGCTTTGTAATCTGTGTGCCTCTATTAACTCTAAATGGGGATAGAATAGTACTTACACCGTGAGGTTGTTTTAAAAGGTAGGTAGGTTAAGCTGTGAATAGTGTTTAGAAAAGTGTCCTTGTACAATAAATGTTATGTCTTCCTCTTTCTCCTCAAATACTACAGTAATTACTAGAACTGTCTCCTCAGTGTGCAAATGCATTCTGTTTCTCCCTTTGTCTGGCTGAATTCTACTCAGCTTTCCCAAGTACATTTAGTTGTCACTTCTTCTGTGGAACCCTCCTTTCCCTAGCCTAACACACACGCACACACACATGCACACACATGGTCTCTCACACGCGCTGAGGTTGTGGCCCCTGATGTGTGCTCACACCCTAACGTCCCCTGTCCGAGCACTGTGCACACGACCTGGGGACGGAGGCTCACTTGGTGTCCGCCACTAACTGTAAGCCCCATGAGGGAATACCATTTTATTTCCTGCTCTTAGCCCAGCGCCCGGTGTACTAGATGTTCAGAAGGTACTGCGGACTCAGGGACGGGGAGAAGGAGGAAAGCTGAGGTCCGAGCTTCTCAGCCTTGTAGGTCCCTTGAGTTTTTAAGTGGAAGGGGGGAGGCCGTGTGTACATGCATTTTTGTTCTCTGTGGTGACGCACAGCTTTACTGAATAGGCACGTTGTCCTTGAGTCTGGCCCAGGACAACTCTGCTGTATGTGATTGAAAACCATTTTTAAATTCAACTACTATACAGAGGACTTTCATTCTGTGGGGATGGTTAATTGAAGAATCACTATAATGTAACTAGGGACTTTCCCATCCTTTAAAACTTAATTGAAATATGGAACTTTCAAGCAATAGTCTATTGTACTTACCAGTGTTCAGCAAAATAGGAGGATTTATCTTTGGTTACAAGGGGAGAAAGGAGCCATCAAACATATCGTGCTCAAAATAATCATTAAAAAATAATTTTGCTGAGCTGACACATCACATGCTCGGTGAGAGACTAGATCAGCTGACCAGTTTTTGTGAAAGATTGATGGTGTTTCATTTAGGCACAAAAGTTGCTCTGATGAAGGCTTTTAACATTTCAGCAGGAAAAGTTGGGGGGGAAATCGCACCCACTTTCCATGAAAAATGAGCACCCTTTTCAGTTGTTCTGTTCATCTGACTGGCGCAAGGGCTGCGGTGAGGGCTGCGTCTCAGCGTGCCCTTGAAAAGGTGCCATTGAATAGTGCGGGCAAATCACAAGAGAGAGACCGGCAGATGATCTTTGTCTCTGAACACCACGTGGCTGCAGGCCCTGCCTCCTAGTGGTTCGGTTCATAGGGTCAGCTTTTCCTTCTGTTGCAGGCCACGCGGTAAAGAAATCCACCAGAAAAGACCATCAAAGTAACATTTAAAAAGCTCCAATTTTACAAAAGTTAAGTTCCTGCCAACATTTTCAATTTATCATGCAATTTGAAATGTTACTCAACCTAAAAGCACACAAGGGAGGAAAAAAGGAATGAAAAAAAATGAGATTTCTTTGGTATCATCAACCCATCTCAGTTGGCTCTGCTGTGGTACAGATGGTTCATTATAGAGTCTGCCGTTGGCAATTGGGCCGGGGAGGTGGGGATGCTATTTCAAAGCGTGCGGGATAACAGGTGGAAGTCGAACTCGTGTGTGTGTCTGCGTTAATCATAGACTTCCTGTTGTTCGGAGCCTCTCTGCTGCTTCATTGTGGTGCTCAGACAGCCCCGGTGCAGGTCAGAAAGATATTAGTTTTAATGAACATTTAGCTTGAGTATAGCTTCTCAGGTTTAATGTGTGATTCTCCTGCAGAATAGTATAACTGATGAACGCATTATCTCACGAGGGTTAACACAAAAATCAAAATACTGCCACTTATGACCAAAATAAGCTCTTACATTATTCAGCCCCGCTGTGCTTCCATTTTCTCATTTGAAAAATAAAGCCATTATTAGTCCTGACCACTTTAGGGGGATATTGTTAATATAAAATTAGACATTAAAGCCCTGGAAGAATTAGAATAGCTGTAATTGATTTAAATTAAAATGGTGCTTTAAAAACTTATCATTGTGGAATTAAGAGAACTGGGCCCACTTCTTTGTCTCTTATTTTCTCCCCGCCACCTCCCAGCCCAGCCCAGCCCCTCCCCCCCCAAACGCTGTCAGCTCTCCCTCCTCAAGGTCATCCGTGACCTCCATCTTGGCCGGGTCAGCGTTTGCTTTTCTGTGTTCATCTCGCTTTATCTGTCAGCAGCTATTGTTTTCCTCTTCCCTCCATGTTCTTTCTGTCTTCTCAAGAGCTCTTTGAAGTGTCTCTAGGTTTGGTCCTGAGCTCTTTCCTCTGCTCACGCTGCAGACTCTCCCCAGGTGCTCTCGGCCGGGACCAGGCTTTGCCTAGGGCCTGGGGTGAGGATGATTCCAGATCCGAGTCTCCTGCCCGCATTTCATTACTGCTCCCTGACCTTCCTCAGCACCCTGCCCCGCACCCCCATCCTATCATTCTTTTTCCCAACGTGTGTTTTAGTTTCCTTACACTTTTCTTGATATGTACATGTCTTATTAAATTGTTAAATTTCTGCACTTTTCTCAGACTGTCCAGAATGCAAGCTTTATTCAGTAGTGTATTACAGTACCTAAGACAGTGTTTGGCTTGAGTTAGGCACTTAAAAAATACATGATGGCGGCCCTGACTGGTGTCGCTCAGTTGGTTGGGCATCATCCCGAGGAGCAAAAGGTCACAGGTTGATTCCCAATCAGGGCACATGCCTGGGTTGTGGGTTCAGCGTGTGCAAGAGGCAACTGATCAGTGTTTCTCTCCCGTATCAGTATTCCTCTCCCTCTCTTCCTCTCTCCCTTTCCCTCTCTCTAAAAGTTAATAAATTAAATCTTTAAAAAATGTATGTATATGATGAAGGGAAGTCTCTGTCCTCAATATGTTATTTGTTGTGTGTAAGTACAAGCCCACGTATTTGAAAAACCCTAGTGGGAGCTTTGATAAACAGAGTGGGGGGGTCCTGTGAATTGTCTTCACTCATTTTTAAAGTTAATAAAACTCACAAATGGATAGAGAATATTATGTGTCATTGATCCAAGTAGCAATGTATACTCAGTTTTGATTACAGTTTCTTTTCTGTCTTGGGGCTACTTAGAACTTCTGTTTGTACTCAGTAATGGTACCTTTAGAGTGCCACTCTTATTCCCATTAGTTTAATGAGCGGCATTTCTATAGCCCTGACATTAAATATCCTGTAAAGCTCCAACCACTTGAGAATTGACTTCTCTGAGAGGATTTACTTTATGTAGTAAAGATGGAAGTACTGGCATCAAGGAAAACCAGGCCCTTACACTGACTTGACCTGAATTTTTTGAGTTTTTCTCTCTAAAGAATTGTTGGTGACTGGTGTTGTGAATACTTAATGACACTGTATGTGGTTAATCTGTTTGGAGGTGCCTTGCTTTAAGGTAAGGCAATATTCGAAATAGGTTAACCATGAGTTGATTGTTCTTTTTATAGAAGGATCTATAATAGGAATCTCTTAAATAGCAAGCTGTTCTATAATGGAGAATTTAAAGCAAGATTTCAATTATGCACACATTTTCAGGGACGTTTTGACTGAAATGAGGTACAGAAATTTTACACTCATAACACATTTATTCCATA